GGGGGGGTTGGTACCCCCCGGATAAGGGTCACGGCCCTCGGCGGGCGTTGCTGCGCACCCCTGCCCGTCACCCAGGCTTGTAACATAGGTAAGAAGCATGCGAACGTCGTTCACGTAGTTAGTTGTCACATCTTCGGGCCCCTGAAATAACTGGTCCCTTCGCGCGACAAGCTTTTACATTCGACGAGCACGTTGTTTCCACCGACAACGTTAAACAAGTGTTGGATCTTGAAGTTAAACGATCGAGTGTAAGTCAATTGACGTTTAACGCAGACGTTCGATAGTAAAATATCGCGAGAACGCTGCCGCTTATATCAAAAAGTTTCATTTAAAGTAATTCGGGCGATTATAAATTAGGCTGAAATGAAAAAATCAACAAGATGACTCGATATTCTTTTTTGTCAATAGTTTTTCGTTGACAATAGATGAAAATTGGAGCCTATAAAATTAGACAAAATTAATCCCAGAAACGTCAAATTAAAAACAAACAAGTCGAACGAACGATTAATTGTGTTAAACATCTCCTAAACCTACTGCTATTCTTTCGGAAGGTTTTATCGACTATATTTTACATGTGAGCGAAGGCTCATAAGACACCCGCGGTGGACAACTTATTAAAGTGTAATAAAGTTGCAAAGTCGATGATTGCCTAGAGTCACATGTCCCCTTTAAATCTGTTATAAATCTTGCGGAAAACTTTCTTACGTGAACCGTTCTTGCTGAACATTCTAAAAGAAGAACGAATAAAACGAGATTCCCGCTGGGTAGGTGATCGTGTCTCATCTCTTATTGCACTTTCGCTAGTAGACGTATCATCATGCAACTTTTCATGTACGTACGAGCAAAACGAACAAACTTGGCGCAAAATAGAATAAATTCCGAAGTAGCGTATCCTGTTTTAAGCGCGCAACGTTGAATCCCGATGTCATGCTTGATGTATCGAAGTAACCGTATATAGACAAGATATGCACGACGCGTGAGACAGGATCAATCTTGCTGCTGAAGTATGCTCATAACACGTAATATCCGAGCCGCTCGACTTCCATTCTAGCGATTTTTTTTTGGAAAAGGAAAAGTGTGAATAATAATTTAAGGGAACACTATTCTTTTACAGTTAACCCTAGTTCTAAACCTGTGGGTGTTTTTTTGTTCAGCATCTTTCAAAACTCTCTTGTCGCAAATCATTTAAAAATAAATTATATTGGAAAAGTTTGTTTTGCTAAATTAACAGAATTTATTAGTAGACACTTGAAAGAAGATGTCATAATATTTGCAAAATTTTTAAAAGATTTTACAATGAAATAAAATGCGTCAGACTTACGACTCGCTTTTAGAAGCTGCTAAATAAAAATGATTCAGAGTTAATTTTTTACTATTATCTATTTTTTTCTATCGCTTGGACGTAAAGCTATAACTTACGACAAATATTTCAAAATTCAAGCGCGCAGTTGATTCTCTGTGGTTATTTAATTTAATACCGATAACTCGATATGGGAAACGTCGAATTTTTTTTAAACAAGTCGCGGTGCTTTATTAGACAAGCGCCGTCGCCTTTTATGTGGGCGTTGCTTTCTTCGCGAAGAGAGTTCTCCAGTAAGGTGCGTTGCTACAAAGTACCTGTTGCTGTACGGGACGGAAACTTTTGCGCACGAATTTTTCCGTTTATTTTTCGCGCGCGCGAGAGAGCGCCGTGCCATTTCGATCAATCAGAACCGAAGGGCGTGTTAAATTCCCTTTTTTCCTTTCCCCTCTCCTCTCCTCTCCGTGAACAGACGTCACGCGTGAGAAGTTTGCACACGCACGAATAGATCACGAGTCAATGAACCGCTCGATGGAGAATGCAATCCCCGCGACGGTTATGCATGCAAATCTATGCCGCGTTCGAAGGAGCGACGCACTTTTTTTCCGGTCGCTATATAGATGCACATATGCACACATCGCAATTGCACGCTGTATCGAAATGAACGAGAGGAAAGTGTTTTTCAAACGTTTAATATATCGTATTGCAGGCGGGGTGCAAGAGTTATTTGTAAAGATACGTCGGATAAAGAGGAAACTTCGTGTCGTATGGTAATACATTTAAATTTTCCGCATTGAAATTCGTGCGAAAGACAGAAAAGTGTGTAGTTTTTGCATGTACGTGTCGTAAGTATGTGCGAAAGTTACGGTTTCAGATGAAACGGAATATCGAATTCTAGTAGTAAAAGTCGGTATGGTCAGACTTTTGAAACTGCGTTCGAGCGCGACGGAAAACTTTTCAAACGCGTTGAAAAGAAAGACAAGATTAATTAACTATAACTTTTGCCCAAGTAGTTTGTATATAATCGCCCAAAAGTAACGCGACGTGTGTATTGCATATCTATCTGTCAGTAAAATAATTCGACAAAATTGTAGAAAATATTTTTTTCTCACATAATGGTTCTTCGAGCATTCCGCGAGAGATAACGGGGATATTTTTGTAAATATTTATAAACACGATTTTTATTTTTTTTTTATCTTAATCCTGAATCCGTTTTTCGGCACTCTGAAAGTGAACCGTGGACGTTTGGAGCATTTTATTCGATTGTAAAATATTTGGAAACTTTTGCAAAAATTCTAGTATCTTCTTTTAAATGTCTATTAATACGTACTGCTTTATTTAGCAAAAAAAAAAGTTTTATATAGTTTAGTAATAATAATTGTTGAAAAAAGTTTCAAAAAGTGCTGATTAAAAACGATCCATAGATACAGAATTAATATTTTTACTATTTTATTTCTCTCTTTTTTTTCGCCAACATGGCTACCGGTCTCTGTGCGAGTCACCGAAGTCAGCGAATCGATCCGTCGGCACTCTCTTTCTCTCTCGTTATAAAAAATAGAAATTTTTACCTCCCGCGGGAATAGTTTACCGAGTCTAGATGCACCTGACGTAGGCGATCTTAGACTGATTAAGGTAATTCGCTGAAATTTGTTCTCCTGCTTCATCCCCGCCGCGTCGTCGCGATTCCGGGGGGTGAGAACGCGCATGCCGAAGTACGTGTACGCGCCGAGAGTGGGGCTGCGCGAATAAACATGGGTTTACGCGACCGTCAAATGCGATTGCTCTCAAAATCACGTTCGCGTTACAATTTCAGGCCGTTTCGATGTTTTGTCGTCAATTTCAAAATCCGGTAAATCGATGAAAAATTATATCATCGACTTGATATCGCAAAATTTAATTGAAATTCGAACTTCAAGTGCACGCGCGAATGAATTACGCGCAAGTGAAATTCTGAAAACCAAAGCGTAGTTGTTTGCTGCGAATGTTTCTCTCGATTATTTCTTTCCCCGTCTCAATGTCAATAAGAAATTATTAATTGCTTGGCTTATTCATTTTTTTCTCGTACGTATGATGTATCTTGAATATTTTACTATTTTATTGAAACGCTAATATTGGAACACTATATCCGCAAGTGAAAGTTCCGCGCGTTTGTTCCTGCGAACAATATCGCTTGAATGTTCATCGGAATTGTATCGATCGATTTTCCAATCATTAATTACTAATACAGCCAGATTAGTAGCGCCGCGTTATATATCGTCATTGTTCTGGCATTTGCGATACAGACATCTCGATGCGAGTCTCATCCGACGGGACGGGAATAAGATCCGGCATGACGCGAGCAATGACGTCCAGTCGGAAAAAATCGGATTAAGCAATCCGACGTCGGTGGATCAACAGGATTTTCGTCTCACGTCGAGCTAATCCTAATCTGGTTTATGCGATTCGGTTAACTAGGTTTCTTCTTCGTGCGGTTTCCCGCGCACGTTTCTCTTGCATGGGATGTAAGAAACCACGTGTGAAATTTTCGGAGACGGGAAGAGAATCGTGACAGAGACGAGCGTTTCGATATTTATCGAATTTGATTTCGAATTTCCGGTAATTTGTAAATTTTTGAATCGATCTGTGACAAATGTAACAGTAAAACGTCGCATTGCTTATTTTTTCGAAGATTAACGCGCTTTAAAAATTGATACGTGTGCGCTTCAAAATTATTACGATAATATTGTAAACATCCGTTTCGTGTTGTACACGCAGCAACTTTGTTTAAAGTCCGTTCTGTAGCAATGCGCGCAACGCCATTGGCAAGGTCATCTTTTTTGTCTCGTTTAATACGTAGTTACCGAGTGATAAAGTCGCGATAATACGCAATTTGAAACTCGTCCGAGTGATGTAGACGTAACGTACACAGGTTGAAAAAATAATGTAAAATTGCGAGGTAAAATATTATTATTAAATAGAATATTATTTGTCATTTTGACTGTGTTGCGAGAAACGGCAAAAAATTGAAAATGAGAACGCGAGAAACCGTGAGTGATGACAACACGTCTCGTAGTAGCACGAAATGTAATACGAATTGTTTAACGATATACAATGCGCGCAATCATTTACATTTTGGACTTCTGTTAGTTCTCTCTCATCTGCAAGTCACGCAATGGTTATTTATTTCAAAGTAAACAGCATATATTTTGGAAACGACATTATCTCGCGTCGTACGTGCATACGTACGTGGTTAGCACGCGCATTTGGATTGTAAAAAACACTGTACACACGCAGAAATCGCAAAAGTCACAGAAACTAAAGTCAATTCTAATGTCACTTGTTGTGGAAAAAAAATTGTTAACGATTTGAATATTTTGTCATAATATTAGTGTTCCCGAAAGATAGCGATTCAAGCAGTTTTGTTTTGAATTGACGATTCGATCAATATACGCGACATATCTTGTGTGTGTGTATGTGTGTGTGTGTATGTATGTATGTATGTATATCTTACGTTCATTAAGTCCGTTATTCGAGCATTTAACTCGTTACGCGATAATATCTCTGAAATTCCACGTGGTACACTTATGCGCAAAAGTGGCTCTTATAAAACGTGTTTCCTTAATTTACGGTATCGATGCCGAGATTAGATAACAGTTTACTTTTAAGCGCTACTTTAATATCCTTTTCACAAATATAGCCTTAAAGTGTTATATCATAATTCAAACACCTATTTTTATCTCGAAAGTATACACCGTTAAAGGACTTTTGGATATTTTGGCCATGTTAAACTGCAGCGTCAAAAGCAAAAACTTACATAAACTTATGCCGCGCATAATTTACATTAAAAAAATCAATTTTTATCGCACTGTCGTTCTCAAAAGCGTGTGAATTGGTGGAATCCGGCGGAAACTACTTTTTCGATTCGACCGATTAATAAATATATTTACGAATCTCGACTACAAAAGATTGTCATAATTGTCTATTTTCACTGAAAATAATATGCCGCATATAATTTGGATGAATTACACACACGCATTCATTATCGGAATAAAAAAAAAAAAGAAGTTTTTATCTCTCAATCACACGCTTCCGAATATATTGGTGTTTGCGTGTGTAATAAAAATTACGGTTTATTTCGAAAAATAGTTTTGTGTAAACTCCACGATGAAAATTCAAACGATATATTTCTCTTTTCCGACGTTACAATTCAATATTGCAAAGTGTATCAAAAGCCAGACAGAGAAAAAGAGAAAAACATATATACATTACATTATATAAAATTTATAAAAGTTTATATAAAAGAATATTTTATACAAATTATTCTACACATACACACACGCGCACACAAATTTTTCGTCAAAAATGTTTTCTCAAAATTCAAGTGAGTGCAATATTTATCTTTTTTTCACTTTTCCTTCGTTTAGATTCAAATTCGCGCGAGAGACTACATTTATCGGATGATTCGTTTTTGCCGTGTCGGTTGAGAGTCAAAAACCAGAGCGGCAAGTCGATTACGCGGAATAGTTTACGACCTCGAAGTTAAGTTGCGAACGATCGTGAGCCGCGCCGATACCGTGCCCCGCCGCCAACCCTCTCGGCTTTCTCGCCCTTCCGCGAGAGGGATGAGATGCGCAAGGTCAGATCTTAAGGGTGGGAAGAGGGTTGCTAGGTTGACAACCCTGCCAGCCGGGTAGAGGGGCTCCGCCCATTGGCGGAAACCGCGGAAAAAAAAGGAAGAGGGAAGGTGAAGTCCGGTGGGGTCTCTCTCGGTGATGGCGATAAAAACGGCGAACGCGCGCCGGGAAGAAAAGGAAAAGGGATAATAGGAGAGAGAGAGAGAGAGCGAGCGAGAAAGAAACAGAGAGAAGTGCCAGAGAAAGAGAGAAATATACATATATATAGAAGAAACGAAACGGCGAACGAGCAGTCTCGTTCGCGAATGATAATTAACGACGAATTGTAATTATTCCGGTCGCCAAAGGTGTGCGAAAAAACGCTCGCGAAATTAGCCGACCGAAAGATTGCGCGATTATAAATGACGTCGAGGCGCGATTGTTAAATTTGTTGCAATAATCCGCGAGTTTTTTCTTCTTTATTTTTTTCTTTTTTTGTTTTGTTTTGCTTTGCTCCGAAATTTACGAGGTTACGATACTCCGTTCGCGACGCGTCGGTAAATTCTTTTACCACGTTTTCCTCGCGAATTGAAGGCGTCGCGTTAAACAAACCGTTCGCGCGGTAAATTTTTCGCCGACAAATTTGTAAAGACAAACATTTTAACCGCCGCGATATTTTACATTGTTGAAACTGCCGCGTTTAAATTATTGAGCGACAAATCCGTGAGTAATTGAAACTTCAATTAGCGCTCGGTAATTTTTGATATGTTTAATTGTTATCGTAATATTAGCGATGAATGAGACGTGCGGATAGAGAGTGGCAGCAGAAAATGTGCTTACAGAATCTGTTTAGCGGAAAATGTTCATCGAGAACTTCCCCTCTTTCCCCGCCACCCGTCGATGATTATTTTCGACCGATTGTCGGCACGATTACAACCGCGATTAAAAATGAATTTAGTAGCGTAATTACGGTCTCTTCTGACACGTATCAAATATTCATAAGACTCGTCGTAAATTACGAGATAACGAAAAAGATCAGAACGTCGTCTGGCGATCTGTGACGCGATAGGTTTTCTTGAAGGAATCGCATTAAATTACATTACTAACATAATATACGCGCAGCCAGAAATTTATAAGAAACGCGTTTGTCGCAAGCTTAATACTTTCGCTATTTAATCTAATCGGCGTAAAAACCGAAATTTTTTTCGCGAATCGGATTAGCGAGTCGCCTTACGTGATTAACACGGGCGATTATGCCGCATTGTTGTATTTTTCCACCGTTTGACTATGTCAACGGGATCGCATGGTGATTTAAGCGTTGAACATACAAAAAAGTCCCGGCACAATGCACGCCTCGTTATGCACGCGCGCTCTTACAATGAAAGCGCTTAATCTTCTATTCTAAATAAAACACGCGCAGGCCACGCTCGAAAGATCCGCGAACACTTCGATCTGCGATTAATAAGCTGCTTTTTCCTCTTTCTTTTTGGTTTATTTAATACAGTGAATCATATCGCCACGCTTCTTTCTCTCTCGCCGCTCAGACGTATGTGTAAGTTTAAATTTCGACTCATCGAAATTACACGCGTAATTCCCACACAATTGGAGTTTCGGATGTATGTACAGTGATAACAACAAATTGATCGCGCGTTTTGAGCAAAAAAATTGTTATTGAAAATTTGATGCTCGAATTAAATAAAAACTTCGAAGAAAAATGTAACGTTATGCGCGCGTGCGTTGTAATATTTTATCCCCGGCACTTTCGACGTGTCTTTCAAATTCAAGAAAGACACAGCAGCGCGCGCTGATTTCAATTATTCGAAAAAGCGAGACACATCGACGTGAGTGTAAATTTAAAACCCACATACGCACGATTTCGGAATCGCAACGCGAGAGATGCACATCCTCGATTATGTTTAAAACCGCGTAAAACCGACGCGGCGTATTACACGTTGCGCCGCGGAATTGTTTAGTACATATTTACAGCGAAATGTTCAACATTGCGTGCAGAACTAATATTAATTTAAGCTTTGCCCGGAACCAATGACGTTTATATCCGCCGTGCGCATTAATAATCGCGCATTAATATTTCATCAAATTTCAATTGAAATTTTCGAAGCGGTGCGCGCGCGCGCACGCACGCTGATCAGATCGAGTCGTTTGACGTAGCGTAAAGATTTTACATTGTTCATCGTCGGAGAGTTGAAGAGAAGAGCGCGGATGAGGGAAAAAAAAAAAAAAAAAGAAGAAGATTGAAAGGTGGATATTAAACAAGCTTGTACGGCGGAGCTGAACGTCATGTTGTAAGATCGTTGCTAAAGTGACGGCGGTGCTTAATGTGTTTTCTTTTAATTTTCAACACAGGGAGACGCGGTCTGGCGATGCTCCTGTCATGTGCAGGATGCGAGAAACCGATAATGGATCAGTATCTGCTGAACGTTTTGGACCGTGCATGGCACGTCGAATGCGTGCGGTGCTTCGACTGCAGAGCCGCGCTACAGGACAAGTGCTTCTCGAGGGAGGCGAAGCTCTTCTGCAGGAACGACTTCTTCAGGTGCGCGCATGTTTACGTACATACGGCTTTCAACCCTCAGCGCGGAAAGATCGTTCCGAGTTGCCTGTCATACTCGAGTTATTTTGTTTTTTTTTCTTTTAATAAACTAATATAATTATATAATTTATTCCTTAGTTATCTTAAAAGTAGTATATAATCTTTAATATTTATGAAAACTTATTTTCCATCACTTTAAAATATAAGAAAATTATTTATTTTGACACATAATCCCGACAATATATTTTTAATATAAAGAAGAGAAGAAATTTATTAACGGAACTATCTTTCCGTTTAATGTGGAAAGTTTTTAAGTCTGCGCTTCTTAAAAGACGCAGACTTTAAAAACCGCATGTTCACTGACTTCCTTCGCAAAAAAATCTCGTAGATTCCCTTGCGATATTAATTAGAAATTGATTAATTATTGCCGCAAATAGCAAATTAGTGTCAGTGAACGGTATTAGTACATACCGCATTATAATTAGAGCTCGTGTTTGCAATCTGCGTATACGCGCCTGTATACACGCGCCGATGAATATGAACATAATGTCGTTATCAATTATAATTATATCATCAGCAATCAGTGTCTTTCTCTTGTGCTTAACAACAAGCCGCGCTGTGCTCCGCGCGATCAAGAATACATTTTGAAATTTCAATTTGGTTTGCGACACAAAGTGGCGAAAACACTTCGCAAAAGGTCCGAGAAATCGCGCACGGTTTTTGTCTCGTATCCCGAACCGGTATCCGCGAAAGTTCGCGCGATCGAACGTTGTCACGACACCTTTCTGGCACCTTTCCCGATGACCAAGCTGTCTGGCTCCGTCTCTCCCTATCGGAGGATGAATCACGGTCCGGTTGGTTTTTACGCGATTACGCGCCGCGATTCTCGAGAAAAAGAGATCTCGTGACGAATGGAAGGTACAGAGAGAGAGGCCGCGCGTTTCTCGCCGATGAGACGCGGCGGGCGCCGCGCGTTTCACTCGGTCCGATTTTCAAAAATCGACAAGTACGAGCCGACTGTGCAAATATGTGTAAGTATGAGCGATGATGCTCACGTTTCCGTGGATATGCGAGGAAAACATGCGGGCGTGTATATAATAAGTCGCCGCGCGGCGAGCAAAAACGATGAGAATGTCGCGACGCAAAAACCATGATGCAACTAAATTGCGGCTAAATTACCGATTCGCGACCCGAGTCAAACTCGTCGGACTTCTTTCGCGATGTCGGAAGTTCGCCGGAAGCGAAAAGCGGTTCAATTCTGAAATTAATGATCGTCGTGCATAGGAGCGATTTAAACGGTTCGCTAAAATGGCCGGTGATTAATTCAGACGCTCTCTTGTATAGAGTAAATCGCTTTTCGACGGTCGTTTTCGGCGGTTAAACATTTTTACATCGCACTATAAAAATGACAAAAATATACATATATGAGATACATAATCGGTAGTTTGTAACTTCGCGCATTGCACATTTCGTTATTATAGCTGTAAATATTGATTAATTTTAATTTAAATAAGAACGTGTAATTCAACAGCAACAAATATTAGTAACAACAATAACAAACAATAATATTATGAATAATCATTTTATGTTATTGATATTGTTTTTCACTTGCGTTATGCTATACGTCGATTATTAATGTCGTTACTATTATTGCTATTATCATTATCATTATTATTATTATTATTATTATCATTATTATCATTATTATCATTATTATTATCGTTATTATTATTATTAATAGCGCGTAACACAGATCTTTGAAGTTCAACAATGTCATCAAAGTCAAAACAATATTACAAATAACATAAAGCATCCTAAATCCGCGCTAAAATACACAGTCCCTTTCTCAGGGATCTCTTCGCTTAAAAACCGAAAGAAAAAAAAAAACGATATCACCATACAACCGGTCTCTATTATTCGCGACGTCGCTGTAGATTTGTCGCGTCCTACGGCTCCGGCACCGTGTCGTTCCACGTGGGTGGCGAACTATGATATCAGCATATCGATTAGTCAGGGCGAAAAATGGCCGCGCCGCCGCTGCCGTCGCCGCTCTGTGGCGAATTCAATTTCGCGGCGGCATTTTTCTGCGACGGCCGGGCGCGTAGATCGTTTGCAAACAAAATTCGCTGCCGCCGATCCCGACGACGATGACGACGACGAGCGAGAAACTCGACCGCTTCTTTCGTGACTTCTGGAAGTGATGAACGATCCTCTTTGTGACGCACACGGGCGTAGGAACCGTGCCGGAGCGAAATGACGCGGCGGGGAAGAAGAGAGAGAGACAGAAGAGGAGTTGGAGGAGGAGGGCGCCTTTTGATACGGATGTGCGGACGTACGAATGTATAACGAACGTGCTTGTATACTTTACGAGGCAGCTACTTTGCATCTCAAGCCGATGAAAAATTCATCAGCCGCGCGGTGACGTCGCAAGAGAAATGTCGCGATGTGAGATACGTGTCGCGATTATTTCCCAGTTCTTCCGCTAATCCGTTAATCGTTCGTGATCGCGGGAACCGTTCGCAATTGTGGATTAGAATAACCAAGACTCGCGATGGAGATAAAAATGTCGAAATAGTGAGATTGTGTCGAAAAAAAATTCTATAGACGGGTCAAAGACACGTTGAAGACACAGTAGGCACATAAGCTCTTGGTCGTAGAGTTAAGAAATCGATACCCAGTCAGTAATAACGATTTATCGAACATTGCGATATTTTATAATAAATTTGTGTGAGAGTCAGTTTTTGTTACGGTCATAAAACTCTTCTCGTTTCCGCGTTTTCGCGCACGAAATTACGATTCACGAACAGACGAATCACTGACAGTCTCCAGTTTGATTTGACGAAGATCCACGTCGCAGTCGGGGCTCCGAGGAATCGTTGACGGAAAAAAACAGCCGCGCTCGGAGAATTCTATAACACCTCCGGGAGGTCCTTTTCTCAGCACGGCGCGTATATACGGTTATACTACATGCGGTTATGGGTAACCGGTCTTCTGCGAGTCGCGGCAAGGTCCTTAAAGGTCGATGATGGGTACCCTTCGGTGGATCAAAAGGGCCGATGTCCCCGTTTCGACGGCACGGAGCCCGGGCCATCAACCGAGCGGCGAAAATTATTGCTTGGAAAAAAAAAAAAAACATACAATCCATCCCGCCACGAGAAATGCTGATGAAAACATTATCGGGACCTCGCACTGTGTCACCTCTCTCCTCTCTCCGTTGTCGCGACTGTGCACGGAAACATGAGCGTTAGCTTATTAATTCGACGGCGGCGCAGACGGCCACCGAAAATTATTGAATGAATAATTCAATGGTCTTTCTCCCTCTCTCTCTCTCTCTCCCTCTCTTTCTCTTTCTCTCTCTCGTTCTCTTTCTCTCTCTCTCTGTAGCAAGGTTGCGCAAGACAGCGGTCTTTTATGCCGTTATCGATTCCTACCTGTGGCAATCTCGAGAAGTCGAAGTCGCTCTCGGTATGTTTATGAACGCGCTAAATTATCCTATTTTGTGGAGTTTTGGTCCTCGATCATGTGGATTTATCGACGTACGCGCTTCGTATATAACGGTATATTCTTGTGGTCTAGTCGTTTCTCGAGTTAGGTTTCTCGAGTTAGGTTTTCTCGAGACGCGACTAGATATGAGATTTTAATCCGTTCGTGTTTATTTAATTCTTTCATATTTTATTCGTTCGCATTCCGAAGAAGCGAGTCCGGAGATAAGGTAACGTTAATTAGTATAAATATGGGACTTAGGAGCAATTTGATTGCTGGACACTTTTTATTTCGAGTCCTTTGATCGCTCGTTTTTACGAATATACGCGATTTGTTTAAACTTATCGCGGTGTTGTTAAATCAGTCAAAAGTGTTTTTATCGCGAAGCTGTGTTCTTGACCAGAGACCACGAGCTTGAGACACAAAAAAACAGACACGAGAATCACGACGATAGTTTATTTTAGTTTATTGATTGAAACCGGCTGATATATTTCATTGATAAGGATGGCAGCCATCCGTTTTGCCATCTTTAACGAGTTCAAGCGATAATTGCCTCGATCGTTACACGCGCGTTACGAAGTTAGATACGCGTTGCTGCGCGGCGCGACGTTGCAGTTAACATATATATTTTTTTTTTTCGCTAACGAAGTAACGCGCGTCGTCAATTGAATGAAAAGTACGAGGCTGTCGTGAGTCCAGTTTGCCTCGAGGACGCGAAGTTACTTTACGTAACGCCGTCGGTAAACTGATGGAAATATATATTGCGCAGGCGGAATTAGGTGTTTTACGAGGGTGCTAAAGAACGTAATGGAACGCGACTTGTGGCGCGATTTTTCTTTCGCGCGCGTCAGAATTTCACAAAGCGCGGTTACGCATACAAGTGCATCGAAGGTCATCGAGCTTCTCTTTAATATGCACTGTTTTTCTACATAATAAAAAAAAAAACAATTGTCTGATATCAGTTAGTCCACTTTTGCTTATTGTAGTTCTCGATATTTAATTTATCGTCTTTAAAATCTCATTTATTATTTCTTTCTTTCGTTCTTCACAAATAAATTATTTATATATATATATATTGATATTGAGTTTCTTTGCAAAACAAAAATAAAAACAAAATAATGTTATTTCCTTAATCTAGAATGTTGAATAAAGCCCCATGAATTTTTACAGATTTTTTGCAACTAATAAAAAATCGCGTTGCACATAAATGTCAGATTTTACAGGTTAAACTTGTCACCTTTTTAAAATCAGTTTATCCCACTTTAATCATAAACGAAAATGTTTTCGTGACACTTGTGTGTACATTGATATCAAGTCGCGCGGCGTCGAAGTTTCCCCGGATAATTGAAGGATCACACACAGGTCGACGGGGGTTTTTCAGGGCCAAAGGGCGCCGACGTTGAGCAGGGGACCCCCATTGTCCTTATCCACTCGACTCTCCGCGAGAGACCCATCGAAACTCGAACGTGGAAACATTATAAATGCGGCGTGACGCCCGCTACGAGTCGTAGGAGAAGTTT